TTATCATGTCCCCTCTCAGTCTTCTCTTTTCCAAACTAAACAAACCCAATTCTTTCAGCCTTCCTTCATAGGTCATGTTCTCTAGACCTTTAATCATTCTTGTTGCTCTTCTCTGGACCGTCTCCAATTTCTCCACATCTTTCTTGAAACGCGGTGCCCAGAACTGGACACAATACTCCAGTTGAGGCCTAACCAGTGCAGATTGCTTTACCATTTAACAACTCTCTTCTTGTTCTCTCTTTTTTCTTTATGATAAACCTTCAGTTTTAGATACTAAAGGATTGGCTGGCAGAGTGGTAGTTTGTGTAAGATCCAACCTAACATTGTCCTGGCAATGTGGCTGGCCCTTTGGGGTTCAGAAGAACATTTTGTATAGTGAGCAGAGCTTTTAAAGTAACTTCTCACTGTACTGGACCTAGGTGCTGATTGGGAGCCAGAGAACTGGAATGCAGCAAAGGGGGCTGTGTGATTTGTTTTTGTGGGGGATCAGGAGCAGAGAGTTTGTGACTGGCTGATGAGTCTAACTTCAGTGTTGACCACTGGTTTTGGGAACATCTGCTCTTTTTGCAGCCTGCCTTGACCGTGGCATTTTCAGTGAGGGCTATGCCAGGCACCCCGGGTCAGACCAGCATTTATCTGCATGCACTCCAGCTATGTGCACTTTGGCAGCTGTAGCTGTAAATGAACGGTGAGGGATTAACTGGAGCAGCTTGGCGGACCTGTGAGTGTGGTATGCAGAGAGGTGCATGTGAACCCTGAGGGACCTAGTCGGCCCCATTTCAGTGCCGAGTGTTGTAAGTTGTGTCAGTAAATGTATACAAAGGTGTGTTCTTGTCAGCACTCCGGTGGCGTACATGCTAGTGGTCTCCAGGGCTTAGTAAGGGGTAAGTGAAGGCGACGACGCAGAAGCAATCTCAGGGAGAGGGGAAGGGGTGCTAACGTTTTGCAGCCTGAGATGGTTTATGTGTAACAGGCTCAGTGCAGACCAGGCAGCTTCTGTTCACTACATCAGACCTAAACCCACGTTTTGCCTTAGCCAAGAGAAGACGTTAGACTCTGCGCTGTTCTGCTGCTGGGCTCTGTTCCCACAGTGCTCTGTAGCAGGGCAGGGCACAGCGCTGGGGTGCGTGTCACCGGCATCTTGGGGTGATGCTGAAACAGGGCACAGTTGAGTTGCATTGTGGGGGTGACGTGAAACTTAACACTTAATTTCCCATTACAATAACCGAGGGGACGGAATCCTTACCCAGCGAGGTCACAGTCTCATAATTCTCCTGCATGACGGCTCTGTAGAGGGCTCTCTGAGCGGGGTCCAGCAGAGCCCACTCTTCCCTGGTGAAATACACAGCCACCTCCTCGAAAGTCACCGGCCCCTGAAAGAGCAAGAGCCCCACACTCAGTACCTGCTGCCCCACTCACAGCCCCACTATTCATGGGGCAGCAGGGCCCATCAAGTAGAAGCTCTGGGAGGCTCACAGTCAACAGAGTCCCATCCCCACCCCACACAGAGCAGCCAACAGGCATCAAGGTGAGGGGAGAAAGAGAGAGCCCCTCGTATCCCCTAGAAGACACAGGGGCAAGCGTCTTCACGTTCATCACACACCTGCTAGCCAGAGGCGGATACAGGAGATGGAGCCCCCAGCAGGGCCCAGGGACCACTCGCTGGTGGGAAGACCAACCCGCTTCTCATTGCCAGCAACTGGATGTAAGGGGACAGGACATCACACAAACCTTCTTGAGCGCACCCCCTCAAATGTCATTGCAGCCTCTTATTCAGGCTCCAGCACTGGGAGTCTGGTCAGTTTTCCCAACCAGTCCGGGGATTTATTTCCTGTTCCACAAACCAGGGAATTTCCACCCCCTGCCCTATGGGTCTGTTCTCAGAGTCTAGGCCCCAAGTCCCAACAGGTTTGTCACACCCTGTCTTCCTCCTTTCTCTACCATAGGCACTTCCTTCCCCCTCCCATCTCCAGACCACATTCCCCAGAAGCTCCCACTGCCTATATATTTACGGTTCCTCTCCCTGCAGCAATTACTCAATAATCCCTCCCTGAAGTGGTTTGCCGACAGCCATTTCCATCTGTCGTCTCATGGGAGGGTTTGGAGTAAAATGTGGATATCATGCTGTACTCTTTCATATCAAGAAGGGCAACTGGGGAGATTTCAGAGCAGGCTTCATTTAAATTTCACATCAAAATTGCCCCAGGCTCTTCCCTGCAGAGAGACACTCGAGATTCTGCCACGTTGGGAAAACGCTTGGTCACTTTATTACAGTGCAGACCTGGCCCCGCCCAAGAGGGCTAAACCCACCGAGACATTTTTCAATCCTCCCAGTAACAAACTTTCTGAACCAAATAGTAGAACAGAACCAAAGGAGTCATTTTGGGGGGTTCCCCAGACCTGGTCCCCAGGACAACACACACCCCACCAGAGGGAACAGGGAGAGTCAGGAAGTGGCTTTTTCTCTCTTTCTGCTCCTCCCCTTGTTCACAGGAAAGGGAATCTGCCCAGGGATGCTGCAGTCAGCGTGTCTGGGCAGGTCAGAGATCTGGGAATCGCTCTCCCCACTTACTTCTTCCACTGCCCCTTTCAGTCTATCTCCTTTCCCCTCTCCCTGCCCCTCCAGTTTGGACAGTCCCATTCCTGGGTCATTTTCTTCCCCATGGCTGGATCAGCTCCTGCAACTACTACTGAGAGGAGAGATGAGGAATGAGATTATGCAGAATCACTTTGCTGCCCGTTCTCAGCACTTTTCTTGAGGTCTCGGGCTCAGGAGTTGATGTTGGCAGAGCTGCCTCAGGGGGCTTGTTCCAACTGGAGAAATTCCTCACCCTGGCTCAGCACAGAAGAAATTTTAAATAAAGTCACTCTCCAGCACAGACCCCACTGGGAGAGAAGGAGCAGCTCAACTTGGGCTTCCAGATAACAACAGCAGCTCAGCCAGGAAACTCAATCCAAGTCTCCTCAGTAGAGAGAGAGAGAGAGTTTGGCTTTTAAAAGACTTTAAATAAAATCAGAACAGAAAACAATAGTAAAAAAAAATCAAGAAAAAAAATACAAATTCATAAAACAACTCCCCATCCCTAAAACTATTAAGTGCATTTCCAGTAGCCCACCACTCAACAATGTGATCCAAATTATGTACGAGTAGAATATCTAAATTCCAAATTAAGGCAGAAATCCACTAAAAAACACATTAAAAAATGAAGCCCATTGGCACTGCCAGTACCAGATTCTTTACATTGTCTGTTTTTCAAAATAGCTGTCTTTGTTTGACTCAAAGTGACGTTCACAAGGCATATTATGGATCTATTTGTGAACCCATACTTAACAGTAAAAGGAAATACACTATGAGAAAAATCAAGGGACTGTAACCAAAAGATACACCCATTATTTGTTGTACTTCAGGGTAACCTGGAACAAGGAAGAAACAGATGAAAAACAGTCTCCCCCATGTAACAGGGCACACATGGACACATTCTGAGTCAAATGAGGCACACATTCTAGGCCATACCGCTGTGAAGAATTCTCCATTGGAGATCACCCGTACGCTTTCAGGGCCGGCTCTAACTTTTTTGCCACCCCAAGCAAAAAAAAGAGCGCCGCCCTCCATAGCGCTGCCATAACACACACCCTC